ATGTAGGCACTTTTATTTTTATTGTGATTTATATGTAATGTAGGGTTATATTTGGGAGTGACTGCAAGCATTTTTCCATTTGTATGCAACTGACTCTGATTATTAATCCCCTCTCCTATCCTTTCCCAGGTCATTTAAATTGGTCATGGTAGATTTTTTTTCATAGATTTGAACAGTTTTTAGGTTGTTACTAAGTTTGGAGTATAAATCTGGGAAAGAGGTTTTATTTACATTTTAGTGTGGGATAGAAAGCTACCTTATTACAAATTTTTTATGTTTCAAAATAATCTATATTAAATGAGGATTTTCTGATCTATACATTGTGTTTAGCTACTCTTTTTATATTTAAAAAATTAAAAATAAAAATTATGTTCTTATTAGCATAAAGCTTGATTTGATCTTTGTTTAAATGCCAAAACTGTATTTACAATGCCATAAATTGCAGTTTCATGTATGTGTATACTCATGTTCGTGTATATTTAGATACATATAATGCTTCCTAAATGAGTTTTGCTCTTAAATCATTTGGCTTGCTGTTTACTCCCTTTTGTAGTTTTTAATCTAAGGAATTTTAAGTCTAAATTTAAGAATTATCACATTTAAAGCTTTATCTTTGTGCAATCTGAGTATATGTGAGATATCATGATTGGCGTAATTTGTCTTAGTTGATAATCAGGACTTTAGAAGTCACTTCTGGGCTTGGTAAATGAATTTCTCAGATCTGTTGCTCTAGAAAGCATAGATGGCCAAAGGACCATTTTGTATTGTTTCCTGGTTACTAGTCTGATTATACTGTGTGTGCTAATATACTCTATTCTTTTTGTTGTAGATTGTCTTAACGGTAGGTCAAGTAATAAAAAAAGATTAAATAATTTAAATTCTTAAATGAATCCGTTTTTCTTCTCTTTGTCCTTTTCTTCTTTTCTCCCTGCCCCTCTCTCCCTGGTGGGCAAGAATGAAAATCAAAAGTGAATTACGGGATGAGTGTTTGGAAAGAGGCATATGTTTGATCTTAATGGTTCCCAAGTTAGTTTGTCAAAGAATGAATCTGAAAACCTTGCTTAAAGGGTAATTGAGATATAGCAGATCTGTTCACAGAGTAGTGGAAGGAAAAGATTAAATCAGAAGCTGAAGATTTTCTTTTTATTGAGGACTGGTTCTCTGGCTTTAGAACTTTCCCAGACTTAGCAGGGAAACATTATTTCTGGATCAGCATACTCTTTGGTTTAAATGTAATAAACACTTAGATATTGAGGTATGTTTATATATTTTGCATATATAAAGTCTTATTTCTCATGTCTACTTGGCAGATTTCTGAGGAGTGAGAGAATTAAGTTGTTCTCATTGTATATCAGTATTTCTTTATGTCCAATGAGGTGGAGATGGTTGTATTGCAGACCACCCTTTAATTTGCACGGTTCTGTAACATCTCGTCCATATTGAGTAACCCCTTCCCTCAGCTCCCTGGTGTCGGAAGCTTTAGAATTACAACAGAATACAACTAAAAATGTTTCTAGGTTGCCCCAGCTGGTGTGGCTCTGCTGAGCGTTGCCCTGTGCACCAAATGCTGGTTTGATTCCTGGTCAGGAGCTATGCCTGGGTTGCTGGCTCGATCCTCGGGGGTGTGCAGGGGGCAGCCAACCCAGGTTTCTCCCTCACCTTCCTCTCTAAAATCAATAAAAACAAAATTTTAAAAAATGTTCCTAGATTAACTGATGGTTATAGTTTAATTCTCTAAAACATCAGCTCATGCGCAATTATTTTTTAATGACTTAAATACCAACATTTTAAAATTGAAGTAGCATGTCAGTTTTCTTAATACTGTTGTATCTCCAACCACAAACTACAGTAGCTGAACCCTTTTTGTAAAACAACCTTGAGCAGCAGTGGCTAGGTCACCATTTAATACATCCCCCAAGTAGCTGTCGTGACAGTTATTCGTAAAGGCTGGAAAAAGAATTTAAAAGGGGGCGTCATAAATCTCTCTTCTTACCCTGTGGAACTTTTACGTAGAAATCAGTGTTGTGTATCGATAAAGTTAGAATTTGCTTACTGACATAAGTCAGGGCTGTGACTTGACTCTTCCATCGTGAGTTGACCCCAGCCAGAGGATAATTTTTTCGTTTTGTGCAAGTTCTGCCAATTTAGCTCATGGTGTGATGTTAACAGTCACCACTAGATGGAGAGCATTTTTGTCATCTTTGTTAATCTCCAAGTGAGTCACGGTTGATGCTCAGCGATACTGTATTTGCGAATTTTGCGTATTTGCCTACTTGTTAAGATGTATTTGTAACCCCCAGAATCAGTGCTCACAGCCTTTCAGTCATCTCCAGACGTAGGTGGTGAAGGGTGAGTCTCCCAGGATGGGTGTGCCCAGGGCAGGGGGAACCGGGCGGCGCTCTGCCTTTTGTTTGGCTCTCGTACTATAATGGGATGTCCTTCCCGTGGTCTGTTTAATTCTACCTTTTTTGTGCATTTTTGTGCTTTCTGTTGGTGATTTCACTATTTAAAGTGGCCCCCAAGTGTAGTACTAAAGTGCTGGCCAGCATTTCTGAGGGCAAGCAGGATGTGTGGTGTGCCGGAGGGAGAACATAAGTATCAGATAAGCCGCTTTCGGGCAGGAGTTACAGACAGTGCTGTTGGTGTTCAACGTTCACGAATCAACCATGTATCCTGAGGTTTCTTTAACGCACCTGAACACACAGAGCAATGTTATGTGTTGACTGGTTGCCAAAAATGGAACCTGAACCCTCGTATTTCCTCTGGGAGCAAATGGCTCAGTGACCGTTAGTTTAGAACTTGTGGTGACTTCCCCTAGACCAGTGCTTCTCAACCTTCCTGATGCCGCCACCCTTTAATACAGGTCCTCATGTGGTGGTGACCCCCAACCATAAAATTATTTTCGTTGCTACTTCATAACTAATTTTGCTACTGTTACGTCTTAGGCGACCCCTGTGAAAGGGTCTTTCGACCCCCAAAGGGGTCGCGACCCACAGGTTGAGAACCGCTGCCCTAGACCATAAAACTACCCCAAGGAAGGGAATCAACCCTATTTTTTAGTCTTCAAATGTCCTCCTGACTTTTGGGAAGGATACAGTGTCCACCTCCAAACGCCCTTTCTCCGCCAAGGGACGGGGGTAGAATTCCCTTCCACTTTCAAGTCCGCTGTCGGTGACAAGAACTGCTTTTATGTAGAGGCAGGAGTTTCATGTCTCGGGAAGTTGAACAATGGTCCAGAATGAGCATGTTAGGAGAACTTGATAGCTCTAAGACAGTCTTGTTTCTGCTATTTCTGTTGAAGGATAGAGTCTTGATTTTGTTGTTACTGCAAACACGGGATGCTTAAGATATGGGAATAACTAGGTATGTAGGTTCTCTCCACATTGTGGTCAAATTCAGTTCTCTCTCTGTTGGCAAACCAGCGGGGGTCACTTGCCACCTTCAAGTCCTGGCCACCGGGTGACTCGAGTGTCTTGGCTTGAGCAGTCCTCTCCGTTGCGCGTGTAACTCCTTGGTCCCGCCTCCGAGAGGGATTACTGGCCTGCGCGGCAAACGGTTCATGAAGTGGGAAGCCCTGGGCTGCACAAGACCGATTAAGGTTCCTCTAGTAAAGAGCTGAGTTGTTTTTTTTTTTAAAGTAAATACAATTTTATAAATTGGGTGAGATTCTGTTGGGTTTCTGTATTACAGTAGGAAGAACACTTTGGGATCGATTTAAATCATTGAGTTGTGTGATTTTTGTTAATCTCAGCATAATTTTCTTCTGTGCATTGGGAGTAGGGGTTCCACCGTGGTCAGGAGGGTGGGGAACGGGTGTGCCTTCTCTCACATGGTGCGAGCTCGGGGTGCCAGTGACGGAGACCAGGCTCGGGCGGGGGGTCAGGCTGGGTCAGAAAAGCCCTTGTTGTTTGTGTTAGGGGTTGTCTTTGGACACATTGCGAAAGTCTTGGATGACATCTCCCGTCTTGCCCTTGCAACCCTCTTAATGACCAGTATTCTCTACCCTTCTCACACTCGTATTATATTTGGGCTCTTGTGGCCTTTGTCTGTGAGTTGGTGTACTTGGGAGTTTTTCCTTGCTGACTAATCACTAGAGCATGAACCCTCTCCTGGCCTGTGTTTTCACTCATGACTTACGGGTAAGAATCAGCCTCCTATTCCAGGAGTTTCAGATGTCAGCAAGCCAGTGAGGAGGAGGCAGGGGAGACGGAATCCCCGATACACCCACCTTTGAGGGAGGTTTGCAAAGGGAACTTCAGACATAGCCCTTTTTGAGAAGCCGCGGAGGAGAAGGGCATCTAGTGTGCCGGCCTCTCCAGGTGGCCTAGCTACGCTTGGGACGGGGGGACAGTGCCTCGATCTTGGGGAAGGTGGTGGTTGGTGAGTGCTCGGCCCCGGCTCTCTCCTGCCTCGGGCACCTGCTGGGCCCAGCCCTGGGTCGTCCCCCTCCGAGACCACCCTTGTTGCCCTTCATGGAAATTCCTCCTGTTGTTGGAGGCTCATTTGGGCATGCTTGGTGGTATTTCAGTGGATATTTAAATAGTCTTGAGGTTGAAACATCCCTTTTCTGATATCCTGGGCAGACCCCTGCTATTTTCACCTCATGTAGTAACGTTTCTTAGAAATTACTTCAGAGGACCGGTCAGTGGTAATCACTGTCCTCGGATTGGGCCGCAGTGACGGGAATATAAGTAGAAAGCGGGAGGTCTACTTTGGGCCAATTTGAGTTACCAGTTTTAGATTTTTTGTTTGCCTGTGCTGTGCCAGATGTTTTATGTGGATCGGGGATTCCCCTGTAGATACAATAAAGATCTGGAAGTCAGGTAGGTGTCCACTCGATGTCCTTTATTTTTTCTGTAACAATTAATACTTCTCCGGGATCAAGGCTCCAAACCTGTCAAGCCTGACCTGGGCCCAGATTTATCCAGATTTCCCAGTCGGCTCAGGAGGTGGTCCGTGGCTTTGATGAAGCCGTGATGCTGGGCGAGGGGCGCGAGGCAGTCCACTCGCGAGGCGGCGCCGAGGGGGAAAGGCCGTGGACCCCACTTTTTCGGCTCCTTTGAACCTTCCCGATGCCCATCTGTTTTGCGTGAGGACGCAGAGGGCCGCGCCCGAGGCCGCCGCTGGCGCCAGGTGTCGTTCCTGCCGTTGGACTCGTCCCGCCCCTACCTTGGCAAGTTAGCCTGGCCAGAGTCCGGGGCCGACCGTTCGGCGGGGCCATTGGCTATGACACTCTGCTCCCCGTGGGCCTCTATGCACCCCTCCACTGTCCTTAGGATGATTTGGAGTCTCCGATCCAGGGCAAGGAGGTGGGGCTCGGTGAGGATCGGGGTGAGCTGGTCCTCCCGCAGGGACTCCCGCATCACGTCGCTGAGTCTGTAGTCGGCCTGGGCCAGCAGCTGCAGGTGTAGAAGTGTTTTCTTCTTTATCCTGGAAGAACACAGTCACAGGAACCAAATAAGAAAATGTGGAAAGAACTTTGCTGAACTAACTTCCCCACAAAAGGCTGCTGTAGCTGATGTGTTTAGCCTCTCCCCCAGGGTCTTCTCGAGCACTTTTTAATGAAAACCAGGCAAAAAAGGAACGGAGAAAAGATGACCCAATGGTTTTCAGTCCTTTTGGTCAAAGGCCTGCTGAGCTGTTTACTCCAGTGACTAACGCCACAGAGCGACGCTGGAATCAAGTGCTCCTGACTGCGAGGAGACCTAAAGCCACGTGAGGTTTCTAGTAGTGAAATGATGACGTTTGCCATCTCACAAGCTCTGGGTACTGCTGGCCTCCAAGCTGTTTCTTGGCACCTTGACAGTACTTCTCGATGTGAGATTCTCAAATGGAGGGATGGACCGACCTTGTGACCTGACTGTAGGATTTTTAGTTCACATGGAATCTGACTTGGACTCAGAAGCAGCCCGACTGTCCACCTTTTCTCGTAAACTGCTTGCCCGTGTCAGGAGGAGGGGAAGGGAATTGTCTAAACTAACCCAAGAGGCGGCCGGGGAAAACGGAGGCGTCATTTTGAGTTTTCCGGCTGAAAATGAAGGAGATGACTTTCCTAGGGGTGGGTCCCGTATTTCTAACAAACTCTAGCTGCAGCGGAGCAGCTGACCCTTTCACAAGCCTGGGAGACCAGAGAGGAGCGGGAGTAGGTTAGAGATTCTCTCGAGAAATGGTGGCCAGGCAGAGGTGTTAGTACAGTGATACCTCGGTTCTCGAACGCCTCGGTTTTCGACCAAATGGAGATTCGAGAAACTTTTGTCTCGGAATCCGAACAAATATTTGGAACTCGAACTTCCGAGATGAGCCGAATGGCGTTCATTCGGCCCAGCGCGCCTTGCTTGCGTCATCAGTGTGAGTGCAGAGAGAGAGTCACGCTTTGTGGAGTCACGCTTTCCTATTGGTTTCATTGCTTCGGTTCTCGAACAATTCGGTTCTCGACCGTCCTCCTGGAACGAATTATGTTCGAGAACCGAGGTATCACTGTACTTCCTTCCCATCTGACTTGGGTTCATGGGACTGGAGTCAGTACTTTCCTTAGATGGAGATCAAGTAGTAATATTTATGAGCTTTTATGAGTCTGGTTAGTCATATCAGAGACAGGCTCTGACAAAGGGTGATGATTATCTGAGTGGGCTAAAGATTAAAGTTAGTGATTGAAAGATTTAAAAAAAAAAAAAAAAGGGGGATACCCTAATTCATCCCTTGCTGAAAGATGAAAGGATCTGAGATGTCGCTGGGGGAAATTCTGTCATCGGTAATACCTGTCTTTCTACCCACGCATGTCCTAGACCCATGGAAGCGGAGTAAGTGCCTCAGAACTTGGCTGCAGGCAGGATGAGGTGTCACGGTTGTGACCTGCCCTTGAAGTGCGAGCTCACCTGCAGCACTGGGAGAGTGGAGAGAGGATGGACATCTCGTCATGGGAGTGTCGTCCAAACCTAGGGGAGTAAACAGGCCGTGGGTGGCAAGCAGCAGCTCCCTCCCAGTGTGTGCCCTCTTCTGTCTCAGCTTTCTGAACTGAAGCACAGCTTGGGGTAAAATGCCCGGGATCATGGCAGCTGCCCTCCCAGCCCCTGTCCTCAATCACATCAGAAAAACCTCTGTCCAAAAATGTCAAAACCAAGCAGTCATTCATCCATTCATTTGTTCACCGACTGCAGAGGGGGATGAGGCACGCACTCTGCCTCTAGGAGTGAGTCCTCCAGTGAAAAGTAGGGAAAACTCCAGTCTATTTCACTGGTGCTCTTCGGGTAGAAGAGAAACAAAGGGACTTAGCAAAGATCAAGAGAAAAAAGGAGCAAAACAAGTAGGGCAAGGAGACAGGGAACGTGACCACAGAGCCCCTCATTTCTCGGGGTTCCCCTGAGCAGCTGCAAGGGGTACGGCTGGGTGGGGAGAGCGGTGTGACACTTACCCTCTGGCGTTGTCAAGGTGAATGAGGAACCCATCATCCCCAAATTTGGTGAACATCTCATAATGGTGACGGTCCATATTTCCTGTAAAGGAGGGAGGCACTGGAGCCAGAGCCCACAGGCCAGGAGGCAGTGCTCCTGACCTGTTTTCTCTCCAGTGTCTGGAGGCCTGTTAGCTGTTAAGACATCAGTCTGAACCCAAGGCCCCAAGCTGTCATTTCCCCAGGGTAATTAGGGACTTTGCCGAGGGATAAGGAAGCTAAACTAGCCACCAGACCCTAGTGTGGACTCTGCAAATCTAAGGCTTTCGCTGTTTCTCCCCGCACCCCAGGCCTGGGACGTGAGCACCACCCCGATGTTGGCTTTCCTTGCCTGAGCTCCTCAACTGGGGCCCGCTGTAGTAAGCCAGCACGGATCAGCTTCTCCAAGGGGGGGGGGGGGGGCTGCAGGCCTTCAGGTCTGCGCACGTGTGTGCTGGCCGCCTTCATAACTCACGTCCCCAAGGGACGTGAAGGTGGATGACCAGCCCCTTCCCAAGGCCTTTCTTCTACCCATTCAGTGTGCACCTCCTTTCCTGCCTGGTTTCCCTCACGGAGTCAAGGGGATCAATGGCCTCAAGCCTGAGGCCCACTGGGGCCTGGCTTGCAGGCTTATCCCTGCCTTCGCAGTGATGTCCCCCTCAGGAGGGAGGTCCCTTTGGGGCCTCCGCTGCTTCTGAGGCCCTGGGCGGGGTGGGGGTGCCCGAGGTGGGGGAATCCCGGACCAGCAGCAGGGCCTCTGCCAGGAGCCCTGGGCGTGCCACCTACCGATCAGGAAGTCGAAGATGGCCATGTCGATGACATTGAGCAGCCGCGTGCTGCTGTTGTAGGGGTAGATCTGCTTCACCGTGTCGCAGTAAAGAGGATTGACCTCCCACCTGAGGGGGAGAACCAGTCCTGGGGCTGGAAGAGCCAAGATGGCAAGGTGTTGGGGGCCCTCCTCACACCTCTCCCCTCCTCCCAAGTCCCTGCCTCCCTGATCCTGCCCTGGGCATGCAGATGGTAGCCGGGTGCCTGCAGGTGGACCCCGGGCAAAGACATGGAAGGATGCAGATGCCATGGGCGAGAAGGTTCTGGGTCCTTTCAGGGTGTTTCCTGAGCATCGCTGTGCTGGGCACCGTGCTGCCGGCCAGGACACCACACCAGGCAGAGGTGACAGGCAGAGGGGAAGCCTGGCCGTGTCCCTGCCCTGCCCCCTCTGCAGCTCCTCTCACCAAGCCCCTGGGCCCTGCGGCTCACCCCCACCCTTCCGTCAGCTAACACGGACTGCGGACCTACTGCGTGCAGGGAGTGTGCCTGAGCCCGGGAATCGACAACGGGCCCTGCACGGCTTGCTGGGGGCCGTGTCTCCTGCGGGCTCCTGGGCTGCTCAGTCACAGCAGGTGCCGTACTGCGTTTTCATAATCTGGCCACTTCTCTGACCACCCAGCTAGACCGCGGAGCTTCTCCAGGGGGGCCTGCGTCCTTCACGTCTGTAACCCTAACACCTAGCATTGGGTAGTAGCCTCTTTATAACTGAAGAGACAACTAAGGGGAGGGAATGGACACAAGCCAGCTGGTCTCAGGATCTATATGAGATGCAGCCAAGGGAGACGGGTAGCTTCTGGGGTCAGGACAGACACAAGCCCTTGGTGTAGGACTGCGGTCACGCTCAGGGACGAACGTACACAGCCATGTGGCCAGGGAGGCAACTCACTCCTCTCTTCCCGCCAGCGAGTAGGAGCGGATCCAGGGGTTGGGCACCGACAGCCTGGGGGCCAGGTTGAGGGACGGCAGGAAGGCGGAGAGGGAGCCCTCCAGCAGGTGGGGGTTGCCGCAGACAGCGTACTCGGTCTTGCACATGTACGGGCACTTGGCGAAGAAGCACACGTTGCTGGCTGAGGATGGGTGGGGGAGGAGGTTAAGAGAAGGGCTTTGGAGCAGACTTCCTGCCCCAAGAAACCCCCTGGGAGGGAGCGCAGCTGGGGGAAAGGCAGGAGAAGGAAATGTGCCTTTTCTAGGTGCTGAATGCTGTCGAACCGAGCGTCCTGAGCACCGACCTTCAAATGTCTCGGAGCACAGAAGGTGTGGGACCCAGCCCCACCACCTCGTATCCACGTGGTTAGTGTTCAGTGTCTGGACAACACCTGATTCCAGGGAGGCTGGCGTTGTAGTTGGGTACCCACCTAGGCTAGTTAGCGTCTCATGTATGACCTTTCCTCATCCCTAGTTCCTTTTGTGTGGCGCTCGGGTGGACCAGGGTGGGAGTGTCGGATGGCGGTGTACACCCATCCCAGTCACAGATGTGGCTACTGGTAGGACAGACCACCGCTGATTGTAACGGCGGCCACGCTGGCCTCCCGTGTTCTGAGACCCAGAAGATAGCTTTGGCCAGTCCTCTACCTGGAGAGACGAAGAAAACGCTCTGCAGGATTTCATTCTTGGTGACCTCTAGGATTTCCTTGGTGACGTTGACTAGCCTCCCCACTGTTGGTGGCACACGTCGGAAGTCCAGGATCCTGCAAGAGAGGGAGCCCTGCTCAGATCTGAGGGACGGTCGGGGAGTTAGCCCGTTAGAAGTGGGCTGGTATTTCTGACCACTCCCAGCGGCGGGGGGTCTGCAGTGCTGAGCTGACGGTGCCCAGGGCAAACCGAAGGGGTGGGGGAAGGGGGGTGGAACAGGAATCCTCATTCTACCAAGCCTCCTGGGCAAACCGTCCACCATCCTAGCTGGGTTCTAGGTCAGAGCTTCTCATATTTCAATGTGCGATGAGTTGCCCGGGATCTTTTTCCAACGCGGGCTCTGTGTCAGGCGGTCCAGGGCGAGGCTGAGATTCTGCGTTTCTGACGAGCTCCCCGGAGGAGCGTGTGAGTCGCAAGGACCAGGAGCTAGGAAGTTCAGGAGTGGCTTTCACCTTTTAATGTCACAACCTGAAGGCTCCGTGGATAAGTGGGAGTGGGTGTATTCTCCCCGTTTTCAGACCCAGAAGCTAGAGCAAAGGGCCATGTCATGCCCAAGATGGCAGCGTGGGCAGCCTGGCAAGGTTGGTTTCTCAATCCATGGGGCCGGGTGAACTTGTGTTTGAAGGCATCACTTGTTTGAAGTGTTTGAAGGCATCACTGAGGTTCATGAAGAAGATAAAGAGCCAGAAGGAAGACATTCCTGGGAGGTCCCAGCTGAGTGTCTGCCCAGCTTCCCCTCTTGGGAGTGGCCCCAGCCGTCCAGCTCCACGGGGCCAGACCCTACCTGTCCAGGTGGAAAGCCGCGATCTCAGCATTGTGCCTCTGGAAGTCAATGAAGTAGAAGAAGTCCTCGGGCGTCTCCTCATCCCGCTGCTGTCTGAAAAGAAGGAAGGAACCGTGCCCTGGATGCGGACGTCGGGGCGAGCCTGAGAAGACAGCTGGTGAGTATGGCCAGAGGGAAGGGAAAACAGCTTCTGTGATGTCAGTGAGTGCGTGTCGGGAATGGCCGGTGGCTGGGAGACCGGCACGGGGAGAGGAACCAAGCTTCTTGCAAGACACCGTCTTGTTGGCACCCCCAACACCAAGTCTACTTAAGAAGCTTTGGTGATAGCGACTGATTCTTTACAAAACCCAGTAGTTGAGAGGGAAGAAACACAGATATAAATGGATATAAACTTGCACAGATATAAACAGACGAGAGGGTTCTGGCCAGCAAAACCAGGGTGGCAGAGACCCAGATGCCAAGGATGAAGAGAGACAGGATGCAAGACAGGACTTTGTTAAAGCAAAAGCGCTCTAGCAATTTACATGACCGAGCTTTGAGGGACAGAAAGGTTCTGGGTCTTAAGGTGACAGGGAGGAATAACCGAAGTGCCTAGTCTCCTCACAGGAACCTGAGCTGGGTCATAAGAGTGGGCCAGCCAGGGGGCTGAGGGAGAGACTGGGGTAGAGGATATGGGCCTATATATGTCTTTAACTCGAATGCATTTCTTTTTTGTTGTTGTTAATCCCCACTGGAGGATATTTTTCCATTGATTTTAGATAGAGTGGAAGGGAAGGAGGGATAGGGAGAGAAAGAGAGGAAGAAAGATTGGTTGCCTCCTGCATGAACCCCGACCAGGACTGGGGATCGACTCTGCAACCCAAGTTCATGCCTTTGACCGGGAATCGAACCTGTGACCCTTTGATGCTCTAACCACTGAGCAACAGCGGCTAGAGCTGGATACATATTATTTCACCCACGTGCTACAGAACGTTAAAGGCATGTCTTTGCTGCTGTTATAAATAAAATAGAAACTGATTTAAAAGTATCGCTGACTTCACAGTGGCCCTTTTCGCTGCCTAGTCTTTCAACCGAGAGAATTCTCAGTATGTAGGGCTCTGGGATGGCTTTGAGGGCCTGGAGACAGGTGGGGATCGATCCTAGCGGTAGGGTGCGAACTGAGCAGCCCAGCTGCAGGGTTTGAATCCTGCCCCACTGTCGGCAGCTGGGAGGTTGGGGCGAGCTGGCTTCTCCAAACCCCAGTGTTGTCCTTTATAAAATGGATATTTTCACGGTACCTGGCTTATAAGATTATTGATGATCCAAAGACAGTCATGTAAATAACCTGTGTAGCATAGATCCTAGCAGAGACCTGGTAAGGACTAGCTCTTACTATTTTTAATTATTATCACCAAAACCAGTTCCATGTTTGGGCAGATTGCCCGAAACAGTCAGATAACGGCTTGGAGGTGGTAGACCCCTCTGACTGATTTGGGGTGAGAACCCCCGGGTGCCGAGGCTGGGTACGGAGGTCAGGGAGGCAGCACTTACCTCATGGGTTTGAACATGGCCTTCCCGAAGTCGGAGAACCGCAGCACCAGCTTGAGGTGGACCCCACTCGGTTTCACAACTGTGGGGGGAACAGGCTGAGTTAACCAGGCTTCTGGGTCGGAGCTCAGGGCTGGAGCCTTTGCTCATGCACGGAACCCGACCCATTTCTTCTCTTCTTTCCCTCAAGACTCGAATTTGCTTTTCAGAGCCCGCGGGCCGTGGAGCGGGGTCCAGGGCCAGACCTCGTCTGCCGATGGGAAAAGGCACACGGGACAGCCCAGGGATGTCTCCCTCCGCAGAACGGCCTGCTCGGTGCTCCGCCACCTTACGGTTCTGACTCTGCCGTCTGCTGCCTCGCATTAGTAGTTTATCTCCGCGTCTTCCTGGTGAAGGCTGCGCCGGGCCCGGGACAGGGCCCGTGACACGGCCCCTAGGTGCCTCCCGGGACCCTGACGCGGGGTGTCCTGGCCCTGCTGTGAGCCTGTGAGGGTGGGGACAATGTCTCCCTCACCACGATGCTCTATGACACGGCAAAGGGCAGGCGTTCAAGGAAAGAGAGGTCCCGGGCCCCGCAAACCTTCGTCTTTCAAACCTTTTAACACATCCTGACACACGTGAATGTGTCTGATGTGTATTTCGGTATTGAGGTGACCGGATGGGGCTGCTTGTGGCCGGCGGTGACTGGTCTGGGGGCTTTGGTGTCCAGGCCAAGCCTGGCCACTCTGAGGGCTGTGTAAGGTCCAGGCACCACTGCACGTAATTTGTGACATCCCGGGAGGGGCCTGTGCTGCGTCTCATGCCTGTTATTTTGATTCTATTAATCGCTGACCCCAGAGAGGGGGTCTCAACCTCGGCTGCATGAGAATCACCGGGAACAGTTTGAAAATGCTGGTGCTCAGGCCTCATCCTATGCAGCAGATTGGACACCTGGGGTGGGGCTGGGCCTCTGCACCTTCGGGTGCTCCCCGGGAGGCCCTGACGTGAGCCGGGGTAGACAGCCACTGTCCCTTCGACGGCTCCTTAAATTTGAAACGCGCTCCAATCCCTTGAGGATTTTGTTAAAATTCAGATTCTGATTCAGGAAATCAGAGGGGGGCTGAGGTTCTGCATTTCTAACAGGCTCCTCAATAATGCCATGGTGCTGTCCTGGGCCACACGCTGACCAGCAGAGGACTTTGCTGTCGCGTGGGTGGGTGGGGAGAAATGCCGAGTCTTCAGAGATTAGGCAGAGAGAGTCGTGCCCCTTCCTCCCAACCGGGACCCCGTGGAGGGGCTGGTGGGCCCCTCCCATTGCTGCCAGGTCCTGGGGTTCACACAGCTGTGACCCTGGAGGCTGGGTGGAGGCAGGGCCGGGTCACTTACTCTGGGAGCAGTCACACGCCCCAAGCAAGGCTTTCTCGTCCTGACTGTAATCTGTGGAGGAGAAGGGCAGGGAGAACGTTCAGCCGGGCCTTGGGCAGCCAACAACTGGGGCCCCGAACTCTGGTTCCACCGCGAGAGGCGACAGCGAGGCAGCCTGGGGCCCTGGCCCATTCAATGGGGCATCTCCTGGCGCCCCGGGTGGTGGTGGTCTCTTGCCCTGCCCCATCCCCGGCCCCATGCTCGCTGGCCCTTCAATGGACACTTGTCGCTGAGACTGTCGCAGTGCTTGGCAGCACAGAGCTGGAGACAGCAGGCCTGTGCTCGGATCCCAGCGCCAGCACTGGTCCCTGGCCAAGTTGGTCAACCTCTCTGCGTCTCAGCCCCCCCATCAGTAAAACGACAGTGGTGATGTCCACGTCACAAAGTCATCGTGGAGGAGAGTCGGTGGGCTGAAAGGCAGCACTCGCCAACGGCTGGGGGTCTCTCCGGAGGCGGACAGAGCCCCCCACACCCCCCTGCACGGTTGCGATAAGAGCACGGTTGTAAGAGCGCTTTCAAAGGGCAAAGGTCAATGTCCGCGACCTTTTTCTCGGTTCGCCTTCTGTGTGTCAGGAGTCAGAGGGCCCTTCCCTGTCTCACCCAGAGCCCGGGGCGGGGTGCCCGGCCTGCCTGCAGGAGCCTCACCGGCGCTGATGGTGGGGAAGTGGCGCATGTCGCGGAGGAGCTTGCTGACGACGCCGCTGGACCGGGGGTACAGCCCGTGGCGGCTGATGCCCAGGTGGAACTGGACCCAGCTGGCCTCGAGTCGGAGCTGCAGCGGGGGGTCCAGGGACGTGAGGTTCAGCTGCTCTTTGTACATCTTGTGTCGTCTGAAAGAGCAGGGGACTGCTGTTGTTAAAATCAGAGAAACAAGAATGCAAAGACCCCCCAAAATACCTGGCCGGGTCTCCCCATTCATCCAACAGGAGCTGGGCCTTCCTTGCCCTCAGAGAGCTTACCGTCTGGTGAACGGAGCTCCCAGCAATGAACACAATACCGTACACCAGACACCACGCCTAATACAAACCGTGGCAAAGCTTTTTTTTTTTTAAACTTGAATGGGGAAGAAGTCATTTATTTATTTATTTTAAATTTTCTTTATTGATTTGAGAGAGAGAGGAAGGGAGAGGGAGAGATAGAAGCATAGTTGAGAGAGAACATCGATTGGCCGCCTCCTGCATGCCCCCTCTGGGGATCGGGCCCACGACCTGGGCAGGTGTCCCGACCAGGAATTGAGCCGGTGACCTCTTGGTGCAGGGGTCGATGCTCAACCACTGAGCCACACCGGCCGGCCAACCGTGGCAAATCTTGTGAAGGAAAAGGGCAGATGGTTAGAAGCGAAATCAGAGGCCTCACATAATCTGGGACCTCAGGAGGCTTCCTGTGTGCACTTCCCTCGAAAAAGCCCGTGTCTGTATTTCCCACTATTTTCTGCCCTGAGGAGTCAGGAGATAGGGGAGAGGAGGTCACTGGTGAGAATGAAGAAAACGGAGTGAGGATCCCTCAGTAAGCCCGGCCGGTGTGGCTCAGTGGATGAGCGTCGTCCCATGGACTGAGAGGTCCTGGTTTGATTCCCGGTCAGGGCACATGCCAGGGTGCAGGCTCCATCCCTAGTAGGGGGTGTGCAGGAGGCAGCCGATCGATGTTTCTCTCTCACATTGATGTTTCTATCTCTCTCTCTCCCTAAAAAAATCAATAGAAGACAACTTTTTTTTTTTTTTTTTTATCCTCACCCGAGGATATTTTTCCATTTTTTGTACAGATAGAGTGGGAGGGAGAGAGAGGAAGGGAGAGAGAGAGAGAGAAACATCGACGTGAAGGGACACATCGTGTGGCTGCCACCCGCACGACCAACCAGGGCCGGGGACAAACTGCAACCGAAGTACGTGCCTTAGCAGGAACCGAACCCGGGTCTCTCCGGACCGCAGGCCGACGCTCTAACCGCTGAGCCAAACTGGCCAGGGCGAAGACAACTTTAAAAAAAAAATGTGGTACTATAAATGAGTCAACACTGACTCATGGTCTTGTAAACACTGAAGTACATATTAATTTATTTTGATTTGGGAGTTTTCATTTTTGAGCCAATACCTTTCCTTTGTTCAGGTCTTGGGGCGTTTTAAGAGCTGAGACTTCCCTCCCGGGAGCGGAGGCCCCTGCAGCCTTCGGCTTGGGGTGGGGGAGGCTTGAATAATGGATACACTTATTTAAAGTGACACATTTTCGACTGCTTCAGGACTGGGGCTTTATGACAATCAAGGGAAAGGGCGAATGGTTGACTAGGTCAGTAGGCCTCCTGCCAGATTTAAAAAAACAAAACTAGATTAACATTTATTTTTATTTGAAAAAATAGTCGAGCCAGGCTCTAGTTCCCGAGGCTGCTTTGAGGCTGCAACTGTGATTGCTGAACTCTGGGGAGTCTCATGGAAAGATGGCCAAGTCCTGGGCTAAGTTCCTCGCCCTGCACAGAGCGGCAGGAGAAAGAGAAACCGCTGTTCAGGGGAGAAGGGGAGGGGGGGGCAGCGGTCCCCTGAGTGCGGCTGATTGTTGACGGAGCCCAGCTACGGCAGCGGTTGGGGTCACTGCATCCAAATCTAAAAACAAATGTGGCGAGTTGGGGGTCACTTCTGGATGAGGACAAGTTGCTCTTTCAGGGGTCACGTTTACTGTTGGGTGAGGACACGTGGTTTGTTCTTCTGCCCTTCCCAGAGCCTGTCACAAACTGGGGGGGTGGTGTCATGGCCTCCCTCCCATTTCTGATCTGTCTCACATGTGAACCGGTTTGGGGACATGTGTCACATCCCGCTGGACACGGCCCACACACCACGGAGGCACGAAGCCCGGCCATCTCATCTGTCCCCTGGGTTCCATCAGGACCCTGGACTTCGTCCACAATCGTTAGGGACTTCTTTTTCCGTAAACAAACAAAACCACTTCCTAGGCCCACGTGAGTCCACATGACAGATGTCTCTCTCAATAATCGTCATTATCATTCAGTGCCCACTCGAACCCTTGTTTCAGTTCCAGACTAAACTAGACGCGCTACTAGTTTGTTTGTTCCATTTCTAGACAGCCCTACTATTTTTCTTAGGATGTGTCTAGGTCTTCAGCCTTCACCTACAGAACTCCTACAAGGGCCATCTCAAATGCCCCATCCCCAGCATGACTATCTTACTGACTCTCCCAGATAAAGAATAAATACAGCAGCAGAACACGAGGCCTGTTTTGGGTGCCAGTGATGGCGGTGACCAAGCCCTATCCCTGAGGAAGTGAGGTGAGCAGCACCCAGGTGTGACTGAGCTCCATGAAGTGGAGCGAGAGCTCATCGGGCGTGGGCAGTGGGTAAGGACACGGACCTTGGCGTTCCAAAGGCCCGGTCCTGCCTCTTACCAGCAGCATGACCTTGGGCATCGGGCCGTACACATACCTCATGGGAGCCTACAACCACCCCACGAGCTACATCTTATCTCCAATTTGCAGACGAGAGGACTGAGGACAGGGCATGGCCATCAAAAAAGTAATTTGACCCCCTGAGCCTCAGTTTACCTGTGTGGAAAATGGGGATACTGACAGCTGCCTCATTGTGTCACAGGAACTAAGTGTAGAAACACCCAACCACAAAGTAGGCATCCAAGCATGGTTACTGCTGTTAGTTATTATTATTAGTGTTTATGAAGACCAGAGACTGGGTGGAGGATAGGTTTCCAAAAACATGGTTGTAGTGGGTAACCAGGAACAACCAGCTTTGCAGGCCAGAGCAAAGCCCCTTGGAAAGTCCAATAAGCAAGGACATGACATCCATGTCACGCTATTGCGTTAGACACCACCACTGTCATGGCTTCGCTTGTCTGCAAGGTGCAGGATCACCCAAGGGGCCTGGGGTCCTGCTGTAGCTTGTCTGCGGTCTCCCCATGTGCCAACTAAGCGGGAACCAAGTTATAGTCGAGGCGTTAGAGAGAAGTGCTGTTTTCCACCCTCTGAATGTTCAGGCTTGGCCTTGGGACATAGGAGGGGTGTCTGCTGGCCCGGGGAGGCGTGGGAAGCCTCGGCGGCTCCTGGTGGGCTACGTGGGGGCTTGGATCCTCGTCCTGGGACGTGGGGAGCTGAGGGCATGTGGAGATGGACAACCCGCGCCCCAGTTCCTTCTGGGCTCCCAGGGCGGAGCCACGGGGGTGCGGTGTTAATTAGCTAGGCTTAGCAAATAAGCATAGCGGAGAGGGGGGACCACTGTGACTCAGAGGGTTCGGGGAGGTTTGGGCCCCGTGCTCCTGATCACTGGAACTCATAAGGCTGGTCAAAAGCACTCTGTTATAAAGAAAATTCAAAAACAAGCTAGTGCACTTCTATGGGACGGGCTTTCGAAGGAAATCTGTGCATCCATTTGGTCCGTTTCAACATTCTTTCTCTGGCATTCGTCTCAGAGAGAATATTTCTGCGTTGTTTTTATCATGGTGGTGATGTGTTTGGAATAATCCCCCTTTGTTTTTGTTTTTTTGTTATAACTTTTTTTTTCCTTCATTGATTATAGAGAGAGAAGAAGGGAGAGGGAGAGGGAGATAGAAACATCGATGAGAGAGAACATCAACTGGCCGCCTCCTGCATGCCCCCCACTGAGGATCGGGCCCACAACCTGCGCATGTGTCCTGACCGAGAATCAAACCAGTGACCTCTTGGTGCTAGGTCGACGCTCAACCACTGAGCCGCACCGGCCAGACGGGATAATCCCCCCTTGCAATGTCTTATTTCTCCTGTGACCAAGAAGGATCCAGGTTTTGTGGGGCACGGTGCTTACACAATTTGGGGAGCCATTTTTAAGAAAAGGAGTACAAAGCTATGAATACAGAATTAGGCATGAGTGTGACTATTTATTTAGAATGAGAAAACACGTTAACAGATTACTAGTGCCTTGACGATTTAGGCCCGTCTCGGCTGAGATTTCCTACTTAATGTGCATGGACGTCTTGACTGTGACCTGCCCAGCCCTTCCCTGCAGCCCCTGCCCCAGCTACTCCCCCTGACCCCACCCTACAGCTCTCTGCACCCACAGGGGAAGGGACGGACCCTGGGCTGAAGCCTCACCAGTTTCATGATGAATATGCCTGTGGGTTGTGCAATCCACAGCCCAGAAATACCTACTGAGTACCAGGTTGTCACCTACAGGCCCACTGTTTTAGCTTTATCTAGGGGACCCTCTTGGCTCCCCTGGCCAGCACCCGAGTATGAGAATGTCGGAACGACAGACCGTGTGGACGTGACTGAGGCCAACAACGACACGGGCTATTGCACGTGGATTTTCTGTTCACCATCCCATTGTACTTTATTTCCAAGACCAAGCTCTGAGTGTCTGCTGGTGGCGTGTGCTCACTGCAGAATTATGTGGGGTGACCAACTCTCCCCCAAATGCACCTTCAGCAAACTGGCTGGCTCACCACTAAAATCCTGTGGCTCATCATAAACAGGCCACAGAATGCTGACGACGTCCCCTGCCCCTCCATCCCAAGGCCTCAAAGGGCATGTCCCCTGTGCCACCCCTTCCTGCCACCTGCCTCCTCGTCTGCTTTTATCTCCGTGCCCTGGGATCTGGAAGACCCCAAAGTGAGGGCCCTAATTGCTCCTCATTTCACTTCCTAAGACAGAAGTTCACCCTCTGAAGTCCATCTTTCAGCCCTAAAGGAGTCTCTGCTTCGTCAGCTCCAGGACCAGAGCTCGACTTTTAGGGGTAAGAGGCAAGGCTGCTGTGTCAGCAACTCAGAGTCACTCTCAGTGATGAGTTTGCAAATCCAGAGAGAGAGGAGGGAGGAGAGACAGTTCCCTCATCCTGAATCCTGGCTCT